CAAACTCCTGACTTCAAGGAATCCTTCTGAGGCAGGGAGCCCCCACCCCCCAGCCTAACAAAATAAAAGCCTTTCTAGGATAGAAATAAGGGCCATACCAGAACAGAAAGAAATTATGTTAGAAAGGAATTGGCCCTCAATCTGTTGTGTGTATGTGCAATTCTGCCGCAACCTTGAGCCGCGAAAAACTCAATCATAATGTTACCAATATGTAAGCCTAATGGGGAAACAAAGAAGCCAAAACTGTATAAAAGGTACTGCCCTCCTATACCCGGGCTCAGCCTTTGGATGTGAATCTGCTGAGCTGGTGCCAGCATGAAAAACACTGCTTCCTAGCAAAGTAGCCTCAGTGTCCCATTTCTTTCTCTGTAAAATCCTGCCACTTCTCTGGTGCATTGGCCAGGAATCAGGGGGCAGAAAAAGTATTATCATGACCCCAGGACACCGAAAGAGGTGACCTTGCCTGGAGCCAGCAGACCACCTGATCCATAGGGGACTAGCCCTCCTGGTGTGCCGAGGTAAGGAACCTGTAAGCGCAAAGGAGCCCGGTGAGACCCAGGAAGCATCCAAGGGAGCACCATCCATCAGATTGGTAAGAACCCCGGTTCGATTTGGTAGACCTGCCCCTAAGAGGCAGAAGGGGAACCTGATCACCTCCCAGAGCTGCCCAAGTAGTCCCACAGGGGGATGAAACCGTGACTCTAAGGCACTGGGCAGCTGGTTGGAGATGTTGTGTGAATGTGAGTGAACAAGATGTCACCTAATGGTGAAGCGAGTGCAGTCGCCCTGATTTGGTTCCAGAAGTGACCTTCGCATGGCTAAATGGCTAGAATAGATTTGGGATCGTTGGTGACCTTCATATGGCTAAACTGCAGGAGTAAGTCCTTTAGTGGGACTGAAACCTGGTTGGGGGTTATACCAACTTGCCTTTTGCCAAGAAAACACATGAAATATCTCCTCAAGGGGTATGGCGCTCTGGGTCAAAACCTGGTTTGGGGATTATACTGACTTACCTATTGCCAGAAGTCACCTGAAATAGCCCCACAAGGGGTACGGCTGGAGATGGGCGGAGCAAGTGTCCAACCCTCTTACCCTCCCCCATTCCTTCCCATCTTGTGTGTGACTGTTATCTTTTGCGGGTGGAAGTTGGTGGCAATCAGGGCAAGCTTACTCCCCTAGAGTGCATAGTAAAGAATTTCAAAAAGGGATATTCAGGGAATTATGCTATTAAGTTGACTCTCAGAAAGCTTCAGACTTGGAGATTGACCTTTGTTTGGGGTGGGGTGGCCCTCTGAGGGGTCACCAAATGAGAAACTAGTAGTAAGGTGTTTGACATCACCTTGGGGGATCCAGGCCATCAAGACCAGTTTCCCTACATTAACTGTTGTCAAGATGTAGTCCTCTCTCACTCACCTTGGATAAAAGTCTGTCTAAAAAAAAGCTATAGAATCATGCTGGCCCAAGCAACAGCTCCCTCAAGGTGCCCACCGGGGTCAAGAAAGCCCATTCTGTCTGAGGAACCTAAGGAGATCCCCCTTCCTTACGCACCACTGTATCCCTCCTTGCCACCCACACCCCCTGAATTGCTTCAGCTGAAGCAGGCCTCAGCCCAGAATCCACCCCTTCCCCAAGGTCACCCCAAATGCCCCAGGCAGCAGCTCAGAGCTGCCGATGTTAACTCCATATATCCCAGCAGAAAGATATCAGGGAAAATTTGCTGACAGCCCCCTCCCCTTGGATGTCTAGAGGCTTCACAACTGCTGTTGAGAGAAATTAGAGGGCCCCTTTACTAGAGTCCAGATGGTTAAATCCAAGGGGGACAACGTACTTTTATATGTCAACCCTTTACCATCACTGACCTCCTGAACTGGAAGCATCACACCCCTCATATACTGAGAAGCCTTAGGCCATGTTTGATCTAATGCAGTCCTTCATTCAGACCCATAAGCCCACTTGGACTGATTGCCACCAGCTCCTCTTAACTTTGCTTAACACTGAAGAATGCCACCACATTACTCAGGGTGCTTTAAAATAGAGTAGCACACCCCTGAAGGAACACTGAGTGCACAAACATATGCTCAAAATCAGTTCCCTGAGGAAAACCCCCAATGGAAAACCTAATGATGACCGTGAATTTCAAGTGCTTGAGCGTTATCAAGGGACCCTTTTGGGTGATGTGAAGGAAGGAGGGGAAAAGACCATGAATATGAGCAAAACCTCAGAGGTGTTCCAAGGCCCCGAAGAGAGCCCCAGCCAGTTCTATGAGAGGCTATGTGAGGCATTCCATCTCTACACTCTCTAACCCAGAGGCAGCTGAAAATCAGTGAATGATTAATGCAGTCTTTGTCGACCAGGCTCAGGGAGACATCTTGTGCAAGTTACAAAAGTAAGAGAGCTCTGCAGGGATAAACACCGCTGATAGAGGTTGCAACAAAGGTGTTTATCAGTTGAGACCAAGAGGCCCGAAGGGAAGCAGACCAGAAAAAGAAAAAAGAAAGTAGACCTCTTTGCTGTTGTTTTGGCAGAGTGACATACCTGGAGGGCTGCCCCACCAGGCCTAGGCTGAAGCCAAGGCAGGCAGGGAGGCCAGCAAAAAGGGTCACGTGCCCAATGATAAGACTGGGGTGGAACCAATGTGCCCACTGTTTTCGAGAGGGACACTGGAAAAATAAGTGTCTGGGGCCAGAAGATTTTCGCCTGACTCCCCAAGGAAGAGAAAGAGGTCAGGTGGTTCAGGGACAATACCAGCCTGCACCCCAACCATATGTAGCCCCAGAGAATCATTTTGTTGGCCTAGCTGTCATGGAAAACTATGGGGAAGACTAGGACAGACCAGGCTCCATTTTGCTAGGCCCCTGGGAGCCTATAGTCCGAATGACTGTGGGGGGCCGGGCCCGTGACTTCATGGTAGATACCAGGGCAGAACATTCTTTGGATACCTAACTTTTCACTGCTGGCAAAACCTCTCTATGAGGCCACAAAGGAGGGAGAGCAAGAGCCTATGTGGTGGATAAAAGCACAGCAGAAGGTCTTTGAGGAAATTAAGCAAGCCCTTGTTAGAGCACCCAGCCTGGGCTCCCTGACATATCTCAGCCTTTTTTCCTGTATATTGATGAGTGTACTGGATTAGCAGTAGGGGTCTTGATCCAAATGCTAGGATGCTGGCACTGCCCTCTCCAAGCAGCTTGACTCTGTTGCTCAAGGCTGGCCACCTTGCCTATGGGCACTCGCTGCCATGGCCCTTCTAGTGGCAGAGGCTGACAAATTGACTATGGGACAAGAACTAATGGTCCGGGTGCCACATTCAGTATTAACATTAATGGAATATAAGGGGCAGTACTGGTTGACTAACGCTAGAATGGTCAAATACCAAGGGATGTTATGTGAGAATCCACAGATTCACTTGAAAGTGGTGCAGACTCTCAACCCTGCAACCTTGCTGCCTACCAAGCTGGGTCAGCCCTGTCATGATTGCATTGAGATCCTGGATGAGGTATTTCTCAGCCGATCTGACTTGACAGACCAGCCTCTCAGGGACCCCTATGTGGAATATTTCTCTGACGGCAGCAGCTTCATAAGGGAGGGAGAACGGTTTGCAGGATACTCTGTAGTAACCCTGCAGTCCACCATTAAGGTAAAGCCAAATGGGACTTCAGCACAAAAGGCAGAATTAATTGTGCTAACCCAAGTCCTCCAGCTAGCATCAGGAATAAATGTCAATATATACACTAACATTAAATATGCCTTCAGCATTCTCCATGCACAGGGGGCTTTAGATAAGGAAAAGGGCCTAATCAACTCAGGAGACAAAGACATAAAATATGGTAAAGAAATTCCTAAATGCTTAGATGCTGTATAGGCCCCTATAAAGGTAGCAGTTATGCATTGCTGGGAACACCAGAGGAGAGACACATTGGTCACTCAAGGAAACCGGTAGGCGGACCAGGAGGCAAAGCTCGCAGCCTCCCAGGGAATAAGGGAGCCAGTGACTTTGGCTGCCATATTGTTCCCAAGTCCATTGGCAGAATGGTACCCTAACTTTTCACAGCATGAGCAGACTCGGTTCAAAACTAAAGATGGGAACTATTTCCCGGGTGGATGGTGGAAATTTAAGGACAGGCAAGTTGCCATCCCTGAGGCTTTGGCCCTAATCTTCATCAAGAAACCCATATGAGCTGGACAGCTCTCAAGACCACATTAGGCCAGCACTTTTACATTCCCCGATTCTCCAGCATAGCCCATGCAGTATGTAAGCAATGTGAAGTATGTGCCCGAAACAACCCATGGCAGGGGCCTAAGATCTCTCCAGGAGTGCAGAGTGTTAGAGGGGCCCCATTCGAGAACATAGTTGTGGACTTCATTGAACTTCCCTGGGTCTGAGTCTACAAATATCTGTTAGTTTTTGTATGTACTTTCTCAGATTGGATAGAGGCCTTTCCTACCCTCACTGAAAAGGCACATGAGTAGCACGGCTGCTTCTAAAAGAAATCATTCCCCAATTCAGAATCCCAGTCACTATAGGATCAGACAATAGTCTGAAATTTGTGTCTGAAGTAATACAATCGGTGGCACGGGGCTTAGGAATCACATGAAAATTACACACTGTCTATCGCCACCATAGCTCTGGAAAAGTGGAAAAGTGGAATGGATGAACTAGACTTAGTTTCAGTTAACTAGACTTTAGTTAACTGAAACTAAGTAAACTGTATCAGGAAACTCACTTGCGATGGGACCAACCGTTGCCAATTAATTGCTTTGCTAAGAATCAGGTCTAGCCCCACTAAGCAGACAAGGTTTTCCCCTCTTGAATCTTTACCAGTGCCCTCCCCGCATTGTTAAAAGTATAAAAGGAGATTTAAAGGAAGTAGGTAATCTTACTCTAAGACAGCAGATGCAGGCTCTAGGTTCAGCCCTCACTGCTAGGCAATTGGGTTAGAGAGCAGTTGCCTGTGAGCTTAACCACAGATGCTCACCCTTTAAACCTGGGGATGGGCGGTGATAAGTTCCTGCCGGGCCTGGCTGGCATGTTTGTCCTCTTCCTTTGCACCACAGACCTCTGCTGCAGCCATGCTCCGCCAGATCCTCAGTCAGGTCAAGAAGCACCCGAGCTTGATCCCCCTCTTTGCATTTATTGGAACTGGGGGTACTGGAGCCATACTGTATCTCATGCGTCTGGCGATGTTGAATCCAGATGTTAGTTGGGACAGAAAGTATAACCCAGAGCCGTGGAACAAACTGGGTCCCAATGGTCAATACAAGTTCTTCTCAGTGAATGTGGATTACAGCAAACTGAAGAAAGAGGGTTCAGAGTTCTGAATGAAATGTTTCACTATAAAGCTGCTTAGAATGAAGGTCTTCCAGAAGTCATCCACACAATTTCCCACTTAACCAGGAAATTCTTCTCCTCTAAATGCAAGAAGTCACGATGACGTATTGTGTTGGGGATTCCACTGATTAATAAATACCTGAAACTTGAAGGAAAAAAACACCTGAGGATGATGTATGGGTAAAGAGTGGAACATCCAGCCCCTAAAGCCCCTTTGGAGAGGTCCGTTTACTGTTATTTTGTCCACACCCACTGCAATAAAAGTAGCAGAGAAGGGCCCCTTTATTAATCACCTCAAAGTGAAACGAGCCTTCCAAGACTGGGAGTGCACTGCTAATCCATCAACACCCGGGAAGCTGACTCTTCAAAGAAAACAAGCCACAACACCAGGACCTTAGAAGACTACTAATCTATGCAAGGCAGAAGCTTAATAAATCAGCCATCAAACAAACAAACTGACTGTGTTTTTTATTGTGAGTGTCATCCCTTGCTATTGTCTGTTGCTGTAATTCTTGCCCTGGTTTTTGCTGTAGGTTTGGCATCAGTGGCTCCAGACAGCTGGATCCACAGTGAAAGGTCACTGCTAGCACTCTTTTATCTCTTTTGGACAGGATGTATAACCATTGTCTATTGTTACTAATCTGGTTTCTTCTTGTAATTTCAAAGCTCTCTGCCTCATGTAACCCATGTATTCACACAACCAGGTCGGGTCAAAGAGTTACCTGGATCCTCCTTTACCATACCCATTTCTCTTGTCAGGAAACAATTTCAGGAATCTGCAAACATAACAAAACCATCTAGTCTATTTGCCAACAGGTAAGTCTGTATACCTGTTTCAACCCACAATACCACCCACAAGCAAGAAATGGTTAGAGGTCCGTCACACCAAAGAAGGAGGGGTTTGTGGAAAGTTTAACTTAAGCAACTGCTGCTTACAAATAGATGATACGGAAAAGGTCATAGAGAAAATCACCGACTGGATGAGAAAGATTACTCATGTCCCAGTCCAAATCTGGAAAGGCTGGGACCTCAGAAAACTGTTTAGTGGTTGGTTCACAACTTTTGGGAAATTTAAGACCCTCATAGGTGTTATACTCATAGTGTTGAGAATTTGTCTAATCCTGCCCTGTCTAGCTCCCTTGGTTATAAGGTCTGCCTCCAACTTCATTGAGGCCATGGTCAAAAGAAAAATGGCAGTACATGTAATGCTATTATAAAAGTACAAATCCTTAAACCAAAGTTATGTTCTATAATTCTAGAAAGGGATTTGAGCATCAAGGGGGGGAATGAGACAGGGAGCCCCCCCAGCCTAACAAAGGCCTTTCCAGGATAGAGATAAGGGCCTTCCCAGAACAGAAAGAAATTATGTTAGAAAGGAATATGAGCCGGGCTTGGTGGCTCAGCCTGTAATCCCGTGTCTTTGGGAGGCTGAGGTGAGTGGATTGCCTGAGCCCACGGGTTCGAGACCCACCTAGGCAACTTGGCGAGACCTCATCTCTACAATAAACCAAAAAATTAGCCAGGCGTGGTAGCGCGTGCCTGTAGTTCCAGCTACTTGGAAGGCTAAGGTGGATGGATCGCCGGAGCCCAGCAGGTCGAGGCTGCGGTGGTTGGGAGCGGCCACTGCACTCCAGTCTGGGCGACGGAGTGAGACTCCAACTCAAAAAAAAAACCCAAACAAACAAGAAAGGAATGTGGCCCTCAATCTGTAGTGCGCAACCTTGGACTGTGAAAACCCCAATCATAATATTACTGATGTGTAAGCCTAATAGGGGAAACAAAGAAGCTAAAAATGTATAAAAGGCAATACCCCCTTTCACTCAGGGCTCAGTCTTTGTGGTTTTTTTTTTTTGGTTTTTTTTTTTGAGTTAGAGTCTCACTCCATCGCCCAGACTGGAGTGCAGTGGCCGCTCCCGGTCACCGCAGCCTCG